CTGCTCAGTGTGCTTCTCTGCAAAGTCTCCAGCCAGAAACAAGGTTTTCCCGCCCTTTTGGAGCTCAGCTCTGCAGTAGCTTTGTTGCTTTGCTTCTCAGGTTCTTGCAAAGGGGAAGGGAAAAGAAAAGAAAGAGGAAAAGGTCTGAGGGGAGGAAAGAAAAGGAAGAGATGATAGTAGTAGGAAGGCAGTGACCCCTCCGATACCCGTGGCGTATGAACACTAGTTTTAAATACTTGTATGCATAAAACCAAGTTTGCATACACTGAACCACCCAAAATCAAATATGTCACTATATCAGTCATTCATGGGGAATATTTTCTATTCTGAAGTATTTCAGATTTTGGAATTCTGTAAAAAGGATCCTTAAATTGTTTTGTCAACAATGATATTCCTTAGTTTAACATGGGCTGTAAGTACTGGATGAAGAATCTGGGGCATTTCTTTCATAGAATCCTAGAGTTGGAAGAGTCCCGAAGGCTATCCAATCCAACCCTTGACTGCTAGGCAGGAAGACGGTTCAGGCCCCGCCTATCTCCGTAATTGCATCTCCTTCTATGAACCGGCACGAGCTCTAAGATCTTCCCTCCTCTCAGTCCCAGTACCGTCTCAAGCGCGGTTGGTGGGGATGAGAGAGAGGGCCTTCTCGGTGGTGGTCCCCGCCTCTGGAATGCCCTTCCAAGGGGAATAAGACAGGCCCCATCCCTCCCCTCCTTTCGTAAGAGCTTGAAGACCTGGTGGTTTCAACAAGCCTTTGAAAATGACCAGTTCTAACTCAGCCCTAAAAGGTAAAGGTAGTCCCCTGACATTAAGTCCAGTCATGTCTGACTCTGGAGTGTGGTGCTCATCTCCATTTCTAAGCCGAAGAACCAGCGTTGTCCGTAGACACCTCCAAGGTCATGTGGCCGGCATGACTGCATGGAGCACCGTTACCTTCCCGCCGGAGTGGTACCTATTGATCTACTCACATTTGCATGTTTTCGAACTGCTAGGTTGGCAGAAGCTAGGGGCCCTACACATTGTCAAATACGGCCTTATTCTTCCTACCAATTACCCAGGTTGAAGAATGAAAACAGAGTAAAACCACCTGGAGGCCTGCGTGGGAGAACCTGATAAGAAGGACTGGCTTAGACTGGCGTCAAAATAACGTGGCTGCTCTAGAGTCCTATACACTTTTAGATGTAGACAAAGGAGGGCAGCAGCAAGGGGTCCCGAAAGTGGACAAACTGTTGAGAAACAGAAAAAGGAGAAGAAAACAAAAGTTTATGAGGAGGTGGGCAGAAATAATCTATACAAGGTCTATAAACATGATAAAGTCTATTTCTTACATAACTGGAATGGCAGTGGAACCTGTGGTTAAATTTTAACTGATAAACATTTCCAAAGATAGCTATCCTGGCTTGTTGAAATGTAAACAATAGGCTCTTGTGGTAAATCCTTGAGCTTGTGAAAAGTTTCAGCCATAATAATAAGTGTGATAAGTCTTGAAAGCCCCAGAAGGCCCTTTCCTTGTTGAACCGTGATGCGCCTCTACTACTTGTTCCAATGTTGGTGGACAGGAAAAGAGATTTAAAGATGGGCTTAAAGCCAAACTTAAAAACTGTGGCATAGACATCGGGAACTGGGAAGCCCTGGCCCTTGAGTGCTCCTACTGGAGGTCAGCTGTGACCAGCAGTGCTGCAGAATTAAAAAAAGGCATGAATGGAGGGCGAAAGGGAGAAACGTGCCAAGAGGAAGGCACGTCAAGCCAACCCTGACTGGGACTGCCATCCACGTAGAAACCGATGTCCTCACTGCGGGAGAACATGTGGATCAAGAATAGGACTCCACAGCCACCTCAAACCCACCGCCAAGACACCACATCTGGAAGACAATCATCCTCGAGCTACGAGGGATCGCCTAAGTAAGTTTTGGGTGCATCTACACTGTAGAATTAATGCAGTTTGATTCCACTTTACCTTCTTGGGCTCCTTCTTCTATTCCTATCTCACCCAGGGTTTTAACGTTTTAACATTTTATCTTGTATATTTGGCCTGCCCTTTGTGTTTTATTTATGAGCTCCCGGTTAGGCCCAGCTTCTGCCAACCTAGCAGTTTGAAAACATGATAATGTGAGTAGATCGATATGTACCGCTCTGGCGGGAAGGTAATAGCGCTCCATGCAGTCATGCCGGCCACATGACCTTGGAGTTGTCTACAGACAACACCATCTCTTTGGCTTAGAAATGGAGATGAGCACCACCTCCCAGAGTTGAACATGATTGCACTTAATGTGAGGGGAAAACCTTTACCTTTACACTGTTTATTTTATTTTGTTACTTTATGTATTATGTTGTGATGTAATTTTTCTGTTGTTTTGTGTCTAACTTTGCTGTATTATTTTGGGCTTGGCCTCATGTTAGTTGCCCTGAGTCTCCTTTGGGGAGATGGTGGCGGGGTATAAATAAAGATTATTATTATTGTTGTTGTTGTTGTTGTTGTTATTACCTGCCAGGGCTCAATGTTACAGAACCTCAGGAGTTGTAGTTTGGCTTCTATGCTAAAGAATGCTGGTGCCTCAGCAAAGGACCATTCCCAGGATTCTAAGCCCTGGCCTTTGAGCACTCTAACTGAAGGTCAGCTGTGACCAGCAGTGCTGTAGAATTCAAAGAGGCACGAATGGAGGGAGAAACATGCCATGAGGAAGAAATGTCAAGCTAACCCTGACTGGTATTGCTGTCCACCTGGAAACCAATGTCCTTACTGTGGGAGAACATGCAGAACGTGTGGATCAAGAATATTATTATTATTATTATTATTATTATTATTTGTACCCCGCTAGCATCTCCGGAAAGACTCAATGCGGCTTACAAAGGCCAAGGCCTCAAAACACAGCATAACAATACACAACCTAAAGCAAATCAAAAACAGTTAAAGCAATATTAAACCAACAAGCAATAAAACAATACACCAAGACACAATAAAACGGGGCCGGGCCAGAGTAATGGGTACAGATTAAAAGTGCTGATGTGGCAGGTGATATGTTGGATTATAGGGTAAGTGCAGTGTGCCAACAATCTTAATTTCTACTAAAGTGCTTTTGGGACTTGTTATTGGAGATTTCCTATTCAGGAAAGGCACATCGGAACAGCCAGGTCTTCAAATTCTTCTTAAAGACAGCCAACGTAGGGGCCTGTCTGAGATCTTTGGAGAGGGTGTTCCAGAGTCAGGGGGCCACCACAGAAAAGGCCCTGTCTCGCGTCCCCACCAGACGCGCCTGCAACGCAGGCGGAATCGCAAGCAGGGCCTCTCCGGATGAACGAAGTGAGCATGTGGGTTCATAAATGGAGATGCGGTCACGCAGGTAGGATGGTCCCAAACCGTTTAGGGCTTTGTAGGTAAGCACCTGCACCTTCAATTGGGCTCGGAAAATAAACGGCAGTCAATGGAGCTCCTTGAACAGGAGGGTTGACCTCTCTCTGTAAGGAGCACCAGTTAACATCCTGGCCGCTGCTCGCTGGACCAGTTGAAATTTCCGAGCCGTTTTCAAGGGCAGCCCCACGTAGAGCGCATTACAGTAGTCCAATCTAGAGGTGACAAAGGCATGGACTACTCCGGCCAGATCAGCCTTTGTGAGGTACGGTCGCAGTTGGCGCAGAAGTCTCAATTGTGCAAAAGCCCTCCCGGACACTGCCGACGCCTGAGCCTCAAGTGTAAGCGATGAATCCAAGAGGACTCCCAAACTGCGGACCTGTGGCTTCAGGGGGAGTGTAACCCCGTCCAACACAGGTTGCCACCCTATACCCCAATCCGGTTTGCGATCGACCAGGAGGAATAGGGCTCCACAGCTATTTACGGACCAACCGCCATGACACCACATTTATATTTATTTATTTCGGTTGCTTCTACCCCGTCCTTCTCACCCGGGGGGGGGGGGGGGGGGGGGGGGGGGGGGGGGGGGACGGGGACGGGACTCAGGGCGGCTTACAAAAGCAAGGCACAATTCGATGCCCACATTACATAACAGCAAAGGACAATAACATCAGTTAACAAACAGCAATTTTAGCAATAACAACAATTAACAGAAAACAATGATTATTATCGGCAAAAACAACCCTCAAACCAGTAGAAGCAATAAAAGCAATAAAATCAATACAAACCTCATTGATGGTCAGCATTTCACAGTCTCATAGTTTAAATTCCAATTTCCACAAATTTTCGATCCTATCCATCTGGTTTCCATATCTAATTGTCAGGATGCCCAAAGGCCTGGTCCCACAACCACGTCTTTACCTTCCTCCTGAAGGCAAGGAGGGATGTTGTTGCCCTGATTTCCCCCGGGAGTGGGTTCCACAGGTGAGGGGCCACCACTGAGAAGGCCCTGCTCCTCGTCCCCACCAGCCTCACTTGTGATAGCGGTGGGGTCGAGAGAAGGGCCTCCCCAGATGATCTCAGATTTCGGGGTGGGACGTAGAGGGAGATACGTTCAGACAGATACGCTGGACCGGAACCGTAAAGGGTTTTGTAGGTCAAAACCAGCACCTTGAATTGTGCTCGGAACTGAATCGGCAGCCAGTGGAGCTGACATAGTAGGGGGGTGGTGTGCTCCCTGTATGTTGCTCCGGTAAGCAATCTGGCTGCCGCTCACTGGACCAATTGAAGTTTCCGAACAGTCTTCAAGGGCAACCCCACTTAAAGTGCGTTGCAGTAGTCTATACGGGATGTAACAAGAGCGTGGACCACTGTGGCCAGATCAGACTTCCCGAGGTACGGGCTGGAAGAGCCATCCTTGAGCTTTGGGTGCATCTACACTGTAGAATTAATGTAGTTTGATCCCAATTTACCTGCCAGGGCTCAATGTTAAGGAACCTTGGGAGTTGTAGTTTGGCAAAGGACTATTCTCAAGATTCCACTGCATTGAGCCATGGCTGTTCAAACTGTGCCAATGTTTAGGATGTTGGAGATTTGGGAATCTCGGATATGGGATGCTCAAAGCTGTGCACACCCATGGGTTGGGCTTACCCGGTACTCCTGGGCAGCCTCCTCGATGGGGAGGGCGGTGTGGGCTCTGTGGGCGCGGGACTCCCTGCAGACCAGGCAGAGGAAGGCTTGGTCTTCCTGGCAGAAGAGCTTGGCGGCTTCCTGATGCTTTTCGCACACTTTCGGGCCGCCTCCCGCCGGCTTTGGCTCGGCCGCCTCCGCAAGGCTGAGCTGCCGGATCGCCTCCACCAGATTCCGGAGATCCCTGTTGGGCCGGAGGTTGTCCGAAGGGAAAGGGATCCTGCAGCGGGGGCAACAGGAGTCCTGGCACTGGGAGATGCACGCCCGGCAATAGTTGTGCCCGCAGTCGATGATCATCACCGGGTCCTGGAAGAAGTCCAAGCAGATGGAGCAAGTGGCATCCTCCTGGAGCTGGGCGGAAGGGTGGCCCCCGACAGCCATGGCCACTCTTCGGCTGGAGGAGAGAAGGAAGAGCTGTGGGAGGGGAAAGGAGAAAGAAAGGCAGCCAGAAACGAAATCGAAGGCGAAGAAGGCAAGGCGGAAGAGAAGGAAGTTGAAGGGGAGGCGCCAGAGCAGAGAGGCGGGGGTGGGGGGGGGGGAGAGGGAACTCACAGCCTCTGAGGATGGCTGGCATTGATGCAGGCGAAACGTCAGGAGAGAATGCTTCTAGGACATGGCCATACATCCCGAAAAACCTACAGTGTATTTATTTAGATTTATTTAAATTTATTTGTTTATTTATTTGTCGTGTCAGGACAACCAGTCAAATTATATTACATTTCTAACAGAACAAAGCAAACAAACAGACAAAATACAAAATTTATGATGATTTATGACGCAGTGGGTTAAAGCACTGAGTTACTGAGCTTGTTGATCGAAAGGTCGCAGGTTCGATTCCGGGGAGCGGCGTGAGCTTCCGCTGTCAGCCCTAGCTTCTGCCAACCCAGCAGTTCGAAAACATGCAAATGTGAGTAGATCAATAGGTACCGCTCCGGCGGGAAGGTAACGGCGCTCCATGCAGTCATGCCGGCCACATGACCTTGGAGGTGTCTACGGACAACGCTGGCTCTTCAGCTTAGAAATGGAGATGAGCATGATCATGCTATTACTGCTCAAGCAGGGAGCTTTGAGATGTTAGAACAGAAGCTTTCCGAAGCTCTAGGTGCTCTTACTGCCTATTACAGGGAAAACCATCTGATCCCCAACCCATCCAAAACACAGACATGTGCCTTTCATCTCAAGAACAGAGAAGCATCCCGAGCTCTGAAGATCACCTGGGAAGGAATCCCACTGGAGCATTGCAGCGCACCCAAATACCTGGGAGTCACTCTGGACCGTGCTCTGACTTACAAGAAGCATTGCTTGACTATCAAGCAAAAAGTGGGAGCTAGAAACAATATCATATGAAAGCTGACTGGCACAACCTGGGGATCACAACCAGATACAGTGAAGACATCTGCCCTTGCGCTGTGCTACTCTGCTGCTGAGTATGCACGCCCAGTGTGGAACACATCTCACCACACTAAAACAGTGGATTTGGCTCTTAATGAGACATGCCGCATTATCACAGGGTATCTGCGCCCTACACCACTGGAGAAATTACACTGCTTAGCCGGTATTGCACCACCTGACATCCGCCGGGAAGTAGCAGCCAATAGTGAAAGGACCAAGGCAGTGACATCTCCAGTGCATCCCTTGTGTGGGTATCAGCCAGCACGTCAACGACTTAAATTAAGAAATAGTTTTCTTAGATCTACAGAGACACTCGCTGGAACACCTCAGCAAGCAAGAGTCCAAAAGTGGCAGGCTCAAACCCAGAACCTCAACCAATGGCTGATACCAAATGAGAGACTCCCCCCTGGGCACACAGAGGACTGGGCAACTTGGAAGGCGCTGAACAGACTGCACTCTGGCACCACGAGGTGCAGAGCCAATCTTCAGAAATGGGGCTACAGAGTGGAATCCTCGACATGCGAGTGCGGAGAGGAGCAAACCACTGGCCACCTGCTGCAATGCAACCTGAGCCCTGCCACATGCACCATGGAGGACCTTCTTGCAGCAACACCGGAAGCACTCCCAAGTGGCCAGATACTGGTCAAAGGACATTTAATCAACTACCAAACACAAATTTTGTATTTTGTCTGTTTGTTTGCTTTGTTCTGTTAGAAATGTAATATAATTTGACTGGTTGTCCTGACACGACAAATAAATAAAATTAAACATGAGCCAACAATGTGATGCGGTGGCCAAAAAAGCCAATGGGATTTTGGCCTTCATCAATAGGACTGTAGTGTCTACATCCAGGGGAGTCATGCTACCCTTCTATTCCGCCTTGGTCAGACCACACATGGAATATTGTGCCCAATTCTGGGCACCACAATTGAAGAGAGGGGAAAAAAGCCAATGGGATTTTGGTCTGCATCAGCAGGAGTCTAGTGTCTAGATCTAGGGAAGTCACACTCCCCCCTTTATTCTGCCTTGGTTAGACCACACCTGGAATATTGTGTTCAGTTCTGGGCACCACAATTCAAGAGAGATATTGACAAGCTGGAATGTGTCCAGAGGAAGGTGACTAAAACGATCAAGGGTCTGGAGAACAAGCCCTATGAGGAGCGGCTTAAAGAGCTGGGCATATTTAGCCTGAAGAAGAGAAGGCTGAGAGGAGACATGATGCTGGCCTTGTACAGATATGTGAAAGGAAGTCATAGGGAGGAGGGAGCAAGCTTGTTTTCTGCTGCCCTGGAGACTAGGATGCAGAACAATAGCTTCAAACTACAAGAAAGGAGATTCCATCTGAACAACGGGAATATTTTCTTCAAAGTTTATCTTTATAACACCATATTGTTAGTCACAGAACAAAAAAAAAATCACTAAAAGCTGAACACCACCAATGTCTCTCGGAGATATTTACATTTTCAAAACAATAGATTCAGAGAAAAAGAATATCGAACAGTTTTGAGAAGAATTTCATTTTTATCATCTAAGTGTAGTACCATACACTTAGGGATAAAGTGGGAGAAAGAACTCTTGTCTGTTGAGGCAAGTGTGAATATTGCAATTGATCACCTTGATTAGCATTGAATAGATTTGCAGCTTCAAAGCTTAACTGCTTCCTGCCTGGGGGTTCCTTTGTTGGGAGGTGATTAGCTGGCCCTCATTGTTTCTTGTCTGGAATCCCCCGGTTCTTGAGTGTTTTTCTTTATTTACTCTCCAGATTTTAGAGTTCTTTAAATACTGGTAGCCAGATTTTGTTCATTTTCATGGTTTCCTCCTTGAAATTGTCCACATGCTTGTGGATTTCTCTGAATCAATAATTGTTTTGAAAATGTAAATATCTCCAAGAGATATTGGTGGTGTTCAACTTTTAGTGATTTTTTTGGTTCTGTGACTAACAATACAGTGTTATTAAGATAAACCTAGAAGAAAATATTCCTGTTGCATGAATAGCTGTTTTTGGATGACTTATATATTAATATCAATGTTATATGGAGCCAAGAGAAATTTCCACTTCAAAACACAAAGTGTGTAACACTTAAAATATATATGAACTAACAGTTAGAAAGAATTACACGGAACAGCTTACCTGATACCAGAGTGTCTTGTTTGTTTTGTTTGCACCTGCTGTCAAGGCCACAAGCTGAATAAACATCAGTGCAAAGAGAAAGTTGTGCTGACAGAGACACCAGATGAAGATATCAAGTCAGTTAACATCTACATTGTACCTATACTTTTACTTATACAAAGTGAAATAAATAACACTAAATAGCATAGAAGATATAAGAGTGTAAATATAGAGAGACCAGGAAGTGAACATAACGAAGATAAAAAGGATTACATTCAAGCAATTGTACTATTTGAAAGAAGGAATAACTAAAACATTGTATTGTCGAAGGCTTTCATGGCCGGAGTCACTGGGTTGCTGTGGGTTTTTTGGGCTGTATGGTCATGTTCTAGAAGTATTCCCTCCTGAGGTTTTGCCTGCATCTATGGCAGGCATCCTCAGAGGTCGTGAGGTCTGTTGGAAACTAGGAAAATTGGGTTTATATATCTGTGGAAAGTCCAGGGTGGGAGAAAGAGTGTGAATATTGTGTTGGAGCTAGGTGTGAATATTGCGATTGGCCAGAACAATTTTCTGAGAACTTTTTGGTATTAATACATGACATTGTGTCCTATCTTGATATAATTCCAAATTTTAATATTTACTGGACAAGGAGGCTCTATGGATTCTGAAATCTTTGAATGGATGACTGATGAAACTCTTCATGCTGTCATGGACCAATAGGAAGCAAAAGTCAAAGGTTTTTGTTTTTGGGTTTGTTTTTTTTTGGTCATGTCAGGAGCGACTTGAGAAACTGCAAGTCGCTTCTGGTATGAGAGAATTAGCCGTCTGCAAGGACGTTGCCCAGGGGACATCCGGATGAATTGATGTTTTTATCATCCTTGTGGGAGGCTTCTTTCATGTCCCCGCATGAGGAGCTGGAGCTGATAGAGGGAGCTCATCTGCCTCTTCCTGGATTCGAACCTGTGACCTGTTGGTCTTCAGTCCTGCCGGCACAGGGGTTTAACTCACTGCGCCACCGGGGACTCCAAGTCAAAGTCAAAGGTGAGGGAAATAGAGCCAAAACAGACACATCACATTTTAGAAAAGTTAGGAACTGAATTTGATTAAAAGGAGCATGCTATGGGGAAAAAACCAAGCTGATAAAATAGATGAGTGAAAATTAAAATATTTATCCCCCTGCTTCCACCACACAGTATGGGACTCAGCTTATTAAGTTTATAGCCTCAGGTGGTTACTTATTATTAAGGTGTGATAGAGATTAAGGATTAATAGAGGTGTTTCTTCATTTGTTTGTTCATCAGTCATTACTGACAAAATAATGGACTTCAACACTGGGGACTAAAATATAGGGCGGGGCAAACGAACCAGACAGATTTTTCTCCATCACTTCTGGAGGGCTATATTAATTGTGTCAGAAGTGAATTGAAGGTACAGTTTAATGCATTTAAAACCATGAACAAAGCTAAACACTTGGCATGATGCTAAATATCCTTTGACCAGAAGCTGAACACTTGGAGTGCCGCTGCTGTTGCTATAAGAAGGTCCTCTACTGTGCATGTGGCAGGGCTCAGGTTGCATTGTAGTACGTGGTCTGTGGTTTGCTCTTCTCCACACTCGCATCTTGTGGACTCCACTTTGTCGCCCCATTTCTTAAGGTTGGTTCTGCACCTCGTGGTGCCAGAGCGCAGTCTGTTCAGCACTTTCCAAGTTGCCCATCTTCTGTGTGCCTAGGAGGGAGTCTCTCATTCGGTATCAGCCATGGATTGAGGTGATCAATCATCAGTTTGTATAATTAGGTAGGGCTAAAGTTACTGCAAGTGAAGGCTGATTTTTATGCTACCCTACCTTGCCATTATTAATTACATTTTAATGACAAGTGCCCATCTCACTACAGATCAAAGAGTCTCATAATATGTATTAAATTATGCAAATCATTCCATTGAGAAACATGTAAGGAGCCTAAGAGGTGGGAACCAAGGGCCTCCAGATGGCGTTAGACTACAGCTATGCCATGTCTGCATAGTCAATGATGGAAGAATAGCTTAGACTTGTAGTGGGGAATGTCTTTCCCACTCCAAGTCCAAGCCCTTGTCGCCATCCTGTAGAAATAGTATATAATGCTAGAATTATATGGTATGAAGAAATCCTCCTAGCTCACTTCTTACACATGTAATAGGAACATCTTAACATTAGAGGAAAACATAAGGCTGTTACCACACAGGGAAAAGAAAGAAAGCTCTTGGGTTTTCTTTACACCTGCATTACTACTTCCTCATTCCAAGTCTGTGTTTATCTTGCCATTGTCAATATCTGCCATATCAATAAGCTTTAAAAACGCCGAAGGATGTGCTACTGTAACACAAAATGGCCATCTTTCAGGGATGCTTTGAATGCAATATTCCTGCTTCTTGACAGGGGGTTGGACTGGATGGCCCATGAGGTCTCTTCCAACTATGATTCTATGTTAGCATAAAATAAGAATTAAAAACTGAGGTGTGTGCTAATCTGTTTCAACTCCATTTGAACAATAGCTGAGATATCTCCATGGCTTGTATTGTGTGTTGGGCTCTGTTATTATGTTATGTAGAAATCCTGTAATTGCAATATTATGTGCCCAGAGCCTGCAATTCAATGTTAAGTCTGCCTATAATGTCAGACTCCAAGAACATCCTCTTAAAATAAAAACAAGCTCTGGCTACATTCTGTATTGGTCACATAGACCCCAGATAAGGCTTACCTTATACACAGTATGTATATGTATGTATGTGTGTGTGTGTAATATATATATATATATATATATATATATATATATATATATATATATCTCCTGCACATTCCATACTTCAGGAAATAAAGCCCAACTACTCATTGGGGTGAAGGATATTAGAAGCAAGATGAAGTACTTTGGCCACTTCATGAGAAATCAGGAAAGCTTAGAGAAGACAATAATTCTGGGGAAAATGGAAGGAAAAAGGAAGAGGGACTGACCAAGGGCAAGATGGATGGATGGTATCCTTGAAGTGACTGGACTGACCTTGAAGGAGCTGGGGGTGGTGATGGCCGACAGGGAGCTTTGGCGTGGGCTGGTCTACGCGGTCGCGAAGAGTTGGAAGTGACTGAATGAATAAACAACTACAAATACTTTGCATAACTCTGAAGTTTTACGAAATACTTACGGAATAAACTTAATATTGCTGTGAGTAGGCTGGACTGAAAGCAGTACTGGGACTTGATAGAGCCTTTGGCCAAGGTTATTTTTCATTGTTTGATTGTTTTCCTATTCAGTTTTGGGGCTCATTTCAAGATATTTCAGTGGGGAAAGACAGTATGGCTGAGATTCCAGTCCTATCCAACACACAGGCAATCTAGCTCCAAAGTCATGTGTGAAACTGGCATCTGGAGAGGAAATCAGTGGCCCTCCAGATATTGAACTCCAACTCCCATCAGCCCAGTCAGCACAGGTGTTAGACAAGAATGGCATTATTACAAGAACATGTGTAAAACCATGGGTTCCCCAATCTCTGCTAAATGAAAAACAGGAGAAGGAGGGTTTCTAGAAGTACATATTGCTGAATCCGAACCAGAGATTGAAATAGTTATGGTTTGCTCTTGCCATTGATTGGAGGGAATACCAGGTGGGAGAACTGGGACATTGGGAAAATACTAATTTTCCAAGTTTTGACCTAAATTATGAGGTATCTGTATTTATGATTTTATAGCAAAGTTTCCATGAGAAATGTATTTCCTCCATTGGGAAGGAGTTCACATTTTCAGTGCATTAACATTTTACTAATTTGAATCTACTATTAACTACAGTCATTCACAAAAGATGTTGTTAGTGCAGAAGTACATTGGCTTGTCTTAAATGCATGGGAAATTTCTAGTGCTTATAAACTTGAGGCTATAAATTTTCAGACTGTAAAATCAGAATATTATCCTGGGATTTGTAATGTCTTGAGGCATCAGCACTCTTTGGAAAAGAAGACCCAACATTTTGTAAAAATACAACTTCTGTGATTCCATAACATTGAACAAGGGTGTCAAGCTGCATTAATTCTCGAATAAAGATGTATCCATACTGATTCCCACCATGATATACCTTAGTTTCCTTTTCATCATCCACCCCATGCAAAGCTCTCTTTGTGTGAAATAAGAACAAGCACATGGTCTGAACCTTCATTATTGCTATTTGCATTCAAGTTATCCCCAAATTATATCAACAGGTATCGTAATGTTGTCTCAGGAAAATCAACACAGATAAAGTTTTCTGCCGTCTTCTGAGGCTGCCAAATAATGAGTTGCCCAAGATCACCCGGTGAATTTTCATGGTCGAGCAGGGCTTGATCTCCCAAAATCATAACCCAATTTTCACATCACTACACAAAGCAGACTGTGTTTCATGAACACATTCCTCTTTCTTTCTTCTTCTTCTGTTCTTCATTCTGTTTGTCCTGGGTTTAGAGCAGTAAACATCACACAAAACACACACACCATCCAAGATGGGTAGTACCTAACATTGGTCATCATGGCATCTCTACTAGTAAGAATAAAATCATAATAAATTATTTCACAGAATTGTAGAGTTGGAAGAAGCCATATGGGCCATCTAGTCCAACCTCCTCCCATGCAGGAAAACACAATCAAGACAAACCCCAAAGATGGCCTTCCAGTCTTTGCTTAAAAACCTCCAGAGAAGGAGGCTTCACTGGACCCTCAGGCAGCGTATTCCATTGCTGAACTGCTCTTACCATCAAGGTATTTTTCCTAACTTTTAGGAGGAATACTTTCTCCTGCAATTTGAATCCATTGCCCCATGTCCTAGTCTCCAGAGCAACAGAAAACAGGCTCCTCAGTGTGACATCGTTTCAAATATTTAAACATATCCAGTCCCCTCTCAGCCTTCTTTTCTCCAAGCTAAACATACCCTGCTCCCTCGGCCATCCCTCATAGAGCTTTGAAGAGTTTCCATTTTTTTGCCCTTTCATGACACACCAAAGCTTAGCCTCTATCTGTCCAATGTTAGGGCCATTAGAGGATAGAGGCCGACTCCTTCCATCCTGCAAGGAAAACATCAAGGGCAGACTGTAAGCCAGCATCCTATTCCCACATGCAGGAATGGGAAAACTGTTTCCCTGTTGAAATCTGCTTCAAAAAATGTGAAGATGTGCATCTTGTGATTGACATCATGAAAGGCCACTTTTCCCATCTCATAGTCCAAATAAATCCCAACTTTCCTGGGTCTCTTGCGCAGCAGCAGAGGAGTCTGTGGGACGGTAAGAGCCTGGTACTGGACAGTTTGGACCCAGGACTTCTCCACAGCCCAGATGCCTTCATTCGGATCAAGGCTGAGCTTTCCTCTCCTCCTGACAGATTGCCTAGCCACCCCCACGGCCCAATACCCTTCTTCCCCAACTTCCACTTCCCAGTAATGCCTCCCTGAGGAAAAGCCCTCCTTTCCCAAAATGCAGCGCTCCTTATTAAATCTCCAAGGATGGTCAGGGAGGTTGTGCCACATGAAGCCTTGTATAACATTCTTTTGGTCTGCAGACAGGATCAATTCCTTGTTTGCTGTGTTTGGATCCAGTGTTATGTTGGCTGCATGATGGAATGGGGAAGGAAGGGGAAAGGGCAGGATGAGAGAGAAAAATAATAAGAAAGGAAGAAAACGAAATTGTTGATGCTACAGCTTCTGTCCCAGGCTTGACAACAGTACATGTGAAAAGGATCGAAGAGTCTTAGTAGACCAGAAGATCAACATAAGTCAGCAGTAAGATATAGTAGCTAAAAAGCCAATGTTATTCTAGGCAGCCTAATATCTAGATGCTAGATTGAGTGAAGTAGTACTACCATTTTTTTTTTTTTGCTTTGGTTGGACCTAGAATCATAGAATCAAAGAGTTGGAAGAGACCTCATGGGCCATCCAGTCCAACTCCCTGCTAAGAAGCAGGAAAATAGCAATCAAAGCATCCCCGACAGATGGCCATCCAGCCTCTGTTCAAAAGCCTCCAAAGAAGGAGCCTTCACCATACTCCGGGTAAGAGAGTTCCACTGCTGAACAGCTCTCACAGTTCGAAAATTCTTCCTCATATTTAGGTGGAATCTCCTTTCTTGTCGTTTGAAGCCATTGTTTTGCATCCTAGTCTCCAGGGCAGCAGAAAACAATCTTGCTCCCTTCTCCCTATGACCTCCCTTCACATATTTATACATGCCCTCATCATATCTCCTCTCAGACTTCTCTTCTGCAGACTGAACATGCCCAGCTCTTTCAACCACTCCCCATAGGACTTGTTCTCCAGACCCTTGATCATTTTAGTCGTCTTTCTCTGGACACATTCCAGCTTGTCAACATCTCCCTTCAATTGCAGTGCCCAGAAATGGACACAGTATTCCAGGTGTGGTCTGACCAAGGCGGAATAGAGGGGTAGCATGACTTCCCTGGATCTAGACACTATACTCCTATTGATGCAGGCCAAAATCCCATTGGCTTTTTTTTGCTACCACATGACATTCCTGGCTCTTGTTTAACTTGTTGCCCACAAGGACTCCATGATCTTTTTCACATGTACTGCTGTCAAGCCAGGCGTCCCACATTTTGTATTTCATTTTTTCTGCCTAAGTGGGGTATCTTACATTTGTCTCTGTTGAACTTCATTTTGTTAGTTTTGGCCCATCTCTCAAATCTGTTAAGATTGTTTTGAATTCTGCTCCTGTCTTCTGGAGTATTGGCTATCCCTCCCAATTTGGCGTAGTCTGCAAACTTGATGATCATTCCTTCTACCCCTTTATCTAAGTAACTTGAAATAGTGTCCAGTTCTGAGCATCACAGTTGAGGAAAGATATTGACAAGCTGGAACATGTCCAGAGGAGGGCAACCACAATGACTAACGGTCCAGAATACAAGCCCTATGAGGACTGGCTTAGGCAGCTAGGTATTTTTAGCCTAAAAAAGTGAAGACTGAGAGGGGACGAGATATCATATTGAAGATTAGAGCAGGTTTATCTTCTCCTGCTCTAATGAACAGGGTCTTGCCTACACTGACCCGATAATATAGTTAGAAGCTAGCATCAAAGTGCAGCAGCTAGATAACACCTGCATCACAGCATGCTCGTAAAGCACATCAAGTAAAGTTGGTGATAAGCCCCTGAATACATTGCAGCTAGCACCAGATCACAAGGTGAAATCAGCTCTGCAGAATGTGGTCAGTTGTAGGCATATTCTGTACCGAAGCACTGCACTGAAACACTTGGGGATATGGAACATGCCCTCATCCTCTCTTCAAAGCTCCATCACATCATCCTAGAGCACAATAGAATTATAGCAGACATGGGCAAACTTCAGCCTTCCGAGTGTTCTAGATTCCCACCCTGGGAATTGAAGTCTAGAACACTTGGAGGAGGGCTGAAGTTTGTCCATGCCTTGAACTATAGGGAAATCTCCTGTATTGAGGTGAAACAAAGATAGGAAGGAAGGGAAGGGTGGCACTGCCATCCTACCTCCCCAGGGTGCCTGAGTGCAAGATGGCTACGGGGATGCCACCTGGGATCATGTATGATGACCCCAGGTGTCTGTCTTCACAGTCTCCATACCTGCAAAGATCAGGGTCTTCAAGGAAGATCAGATCTTTACAGATTTTTTTAACCTGGTGTAAACAACAGTAAAGTTTACCTGGGATTAATCTGCATTAGAATCATAGAATCATAGAATCATAGAATCAAAGAGTTGGAAGAGACCTCACGGGCCATCCAGTCCAACCCCCTGCCAAGAAGCAGGAATATTGCATTCAAATCACCCCTGACAAATGGCCATCCAGCCTCTGCTTAAAAGCTTCCAAAGAAGGAGCCTCCACCACACTCCGGGGCAGAGAGTTCCACTGCTGAACGGCTCTCACAGTCAGGACGTTCTTCCTAATGTTCAGATGGAATCTCCTTTCTTGTAGTTTGAAGCCATTGTTCCGCGTCCTAGTCTCCAGGGAAGCAGAAAACAAGCTTGCTCCCTCCTCCCTGTGGCTTCCTCTCACATATTTATACATGGCTATCATATCTCCTCTCAGCCTTATCTTCTTCAGGCTAAACATGCCCAGCTCCTTAAGCCGCTCCTCATAGGGCTTGTTCTCCAGACCCTTGATCATTTTAGTCGCCCTCCTCTGGACACATTCCAGCTTGTCAATATCTCTCTTGAATTGTGGTGCCCAGAATTGGACACAATATTCCAGGTGTGGTCTAACCAAAGCAGAATAGAGGGGTAGCATTACTTCCCTAGATCTAGACACTATGCTCCTATTGATGCAGGCCAAAATCCCATTGGCTTTTTTTTTGCCGCCACATCACATTGTTGGCTCATGTTTAACTTGTTGTCCACGAGGACTCCAAGATCTTTTTCACACGTACTGCTCTCGAGCCAGGCGTCGCCCATTCTGTATCTTTGCATTTCATTTTTTCTGCCAAAGTGGAGTATCTTGCATTTGTCACTGTTGAACTTCATTTTGTTAGTTTTGGCCCATCTCTCTAATCTGTCAAGATCGTTTGAATTCTGCTCCTGTCCTCTGGACTATTGGCTATCCCTCCCAATTTGGTGTCGTCTGCAAAACTTGATGATCATGCCTTCTAGCCCTTCATCTAAGTCATTAATAAAGATGTTGAACAGGACCGGGCCCAGGACGGAACCCTGCGGCACTCCACTTGTCACTTCTTTCCAAGATGAAGAGGAAGCATTGTGAGCACCCTCTGTGTTCGTCCATTTAACCAATTACAGATCCACCTCACCGTAGTTTTGCCTAGCCCACATTGGACTAGTTTCCTTGCCAGAAGGTCATGGGGGACCTTGTCGAAGGCCTTACTGAAATCCAGGTATGCCACATCCACGGCATTCCCTGCATCTACCCAGCTTGTAGCTCTATCGAAGAAAGAGATCAGATTAGTCTGGCATGACTTGTTTTTGATAAATCCATGTTGACTATTAGCGATGACTGCATTTGTTTCTAAGTGTTTGCAGACCACTTCCTTAACAATCTTTTCCAGAATCTTGCCTGGTATCGACGTGAGGCTGACCGGACGGTAGTTGTTTGGGTCATCCTTTTTTCCCTTCTTGAAGATTGCGACCACATTGGCCCTCCTCCAATCTGCTGGAACTTCTCCTGTTCTCCAAGAACTCTCAAAGATGGTTGCCAATGGTTCCGAAATGACTTCCGCTAGTTCCTTCAATACTCTGGGGTGTAGTTGATCTGGCCCTGGGGACTTGAACTCATTTAGAGCGGCCAGGTATTCCTGGACGACTTCTTTCCCAATTTGGGGTTGGATGTCCTCCAATCCCTCATCCACTCCATCTTGCTGAGGTTGAAGACTCTCTTTTTGTGAGAAGACCGAGGCAAAGAAGGCATTAAGTAGTTCTGCCTTTTCCCTATCCCCTGTCAGCATTGCCCCATCTTCTCCTCGAAGAGGTCCTATCGCCTCCTTCTTTTTCCTTTTTCTACTGACATAAGAATAGAAGCCCTTTTTATTGTTTTTAATGTCCCTGGCAAGTCTGTATATTAGCCTGTATATGTTGTTTGGATGCCCCAGGCTAAGGTGTTATCTGCATTGCATGGTCTGGCAGTATAGATGGGCCCTAAGGCACAGACTCCCAGACTTTCCTAGATAGATAATTTTAATCCATGAATAATCAAATGCACATATATTAATATGGTAGCTTCTTACCTTTCTCTATTGGCACCACCATATTCCTCCAACCTAAAAAAGATCACATGATTAAAAATTACTTATTTTTCCCTACATGGTAGCACAGCAGTTTAAAGCTACTAGCTGCAGGAAAGGCTACTGACTGAAGGGTCAACAGTTCAAGCCGTGAGTCGGGTGAGCTCAAAACTGTCAGTCCAAGCTCTCTGTCTACCTAGCAGTTTGAAAGCATGCAATGCAAGTAGATTAATAGGCACCACCTCCGGCAGGAAGGTGAAAGGGTGCCTCATGCAGGCTTGCAGACATGCCAACAAAGATCAGAGAAGGCTATGGTCAGCAGGCTCCTCGGCATGGAAAAATGGAACATCAGCACCTCCCCATGGCTGGAAGTTAAGCATCACCTCCAGATGCCAGAAATGGGAAAAAGGGGAAGATATTTACTTTATCTGTGTATTGTATGCCATTGTTCGTATTAAAAAGGCATTGAATGTTTGCCTTATATGTATTATTATTATTATTATTACAAATGCTATGTGTTCTGATAACGACTGTGGTGCAGTGATTTTAAGAGTGTATTTTTCTTTAAAACATGCATAATATTCAATTGCTTCAACAAGAATAACAAGTTTATATACTTTCAAACACTATTTTACTCGATTAATTCTATGACTTTTACAATGGGGACAACAGAAAGTTCAATACAGTGGGTCTTTGATACCCACTGAGGGTTTGTTCCAGGACCTCTTGTGGATATCAAAATTGCTGGATGCTCAAGTCATATTACATACTGGAATAAAATTATATCCTTATATAAAAGAGCAAAATCAATGTTTAATTTTTGGATTTGGTGGACGGGCGGGTTCAAGTTGTAGATGGCTGAATCTATGGATGCAGAATCGATGGATATTGAAGATCCACAGTATCCTCTTAGTGAAGCCTTTGAAGGTTTGTTAAACACAATATTTTTAAAACAGGAGGAGATCTGAAAATCCCTCAAAAATGGAGCATTTCCTAGTTATTAAACCTATTCACAGGGAGGAAGCACAGTCCATTGCTAATTCATGTGTTTGCATGTTAGAGGTCCCCCTTCCGTCCTTGGTATTGCCAGATTAGGCTGGAGCAAGGCTCTTCTCTAAATCCTGCGAAATTCAGATAAGCCTCAGCTTGTCAAACCACTAGTTTGTCTCAATGGAACAAAGTTCTCTTCCTTCCTAGAATGCAAATGATTTTTCAGCCATAAATTTTGTTACCACCCTCTACTCAAACATTGTTTCTGTTTTAAATTACAGTTTTATAAAAATTGGTAGTGGTTGACAATATAAGGTACATCTACACTATAAAATTAATCCAGTTTGACATGGCTTGATCTGCCATGGCTCAACGTGAAGGATCATGGGGGATAGTTTTGAAAAGTCTTTAACCTTCTCTGCCAAACAGATCACCAAACTACAAATCCTGGTATTCTGCATCATTGAGCCATGGCAATCCAAGTGGTGTCAGACTGTATTCATTCTATAGTGTAGAGCCACCCATAGTGAGCCTCCCACATTCATTGGGATTTAGAGGCACAGGACACCCATGAAATTGAAAAACCGAATAAAGAAATAACTGAGAGAACATATATCCAGGAATTTCTAGGTCCTCCAGCATGGAGGAAGTTGACCATAGAATCACATTGTAGGACCAAGAAAACACATCTCTAGCAATCTCTATGCCCTCCAGTGTGATCAGGGAAAGCTGATTGTAAAGTCCCACTGGAGAATACAGAAATTCTCAGAGAGAAATCCTAATCAAATTCATGCATAGTTGAATCTGCAAAAGTCAAACCCACTAATGCAGAGAATGGACCATATTTCCTTTCTAAAAGAAAAATGACAGTCCAAGAGAGAGTTATGATGTTACCTAAAGTACACTGACAATAAAGTATAATTTTTGAACAGTATATAGACAAAGTTGTGCTGTATGATTAAACTAATTAAAAACCATAATTTAAGACTGCACTGGACTGTGTCCCATATATATATATTTAAAGAAATACCGTACTTACTCAGTTCTGTGATGAGCTTTCCTAGAGACAAACAAATGACAATTATTATACTGCTGCAAACATTCATCAATGTAAGCTTGCTATTGGATTTTTGTGGATATCTGCCACTGGTTTTCATAGAATCATAGAATTCAAAGTGGATATAAAGTCCAGCCCTTCTCTCAATGCAGGAACTTCAAGCTTCACTTCTTCTTACCATTCTTTCCCAACTGTTGTGATGGATATTGATGTCATGTCATGATACAAATGATTATTTGTACTGCTGTGGGTTTTTTTGTCGCTACATTTTTGTTTGCATTACCAGGCATGGGCAAACTTTGGCCCTCCAGGTGTTTTGGATTTCAGCTCCCACAATTCCTAACAGTTGAAGTAACAACAACTCCTTGACAGAGAAGGCTAAAGACCTTCTAAAACTACAACTCCCAAAATTCCATTGGTTGAAATCACGGCAGTTGAAGTGGCATCAAACTGTATTCATTCAACTGTGTAGAATAGATGCACTCTATTATATGTATATAAGCTGTGATTTGAGCTTAATGCTTCTATTTCATAAATGGGACAAGACCTTTGACAGCTTATGCTCCATAATGAATTTATTTTTGAGTTGTCTTTATTCCGTATTATTTGCTTAAACCAAAAAATGAAACTATAAGGCTGCTATGGAACTACTCACTGTTTCTGTTAATCAGGTACAGAATAGCAACGAGTAAGCCAACAGGAACCAGGATGGATACACATAGACCAACTATCCAGGGGTCAATCTTTGGGAAGAAGTTATCTGAAATACACCCCAATATTATTGCAATTATTGTCATCATCATCATCAACAACAACAATGACAGCAGCAGCAGTAGCAACGACAATGATGTTGATGAGGTTGCAATTAAAGCAAACATTATACACCAAATACTTTCATGGGAGTTGAGACATAAGACTCCCATGAAAATAAAAACACTATGGAAAAAAAAATCACCTGAAAGAACATCTCTCCAGGAAAGTCTAGGTTCTCCATCATAACACTATGGTCCACTTCCTCCAGAGGCTGACCATAATAGCACACTGGAGGATCTGGAGACTCCTAGAAAGGTGTTATCTTGGAGGCCCCTTCAACACTGCCATATAAAATCCAGATAATCTGCTTTGAACTGGATTATATGGCAGTGTATACTCATATAATGTTGTTCAGAGCAGATAATGTGAATTATCTGCTTTGATAATCTGGATTATATGGCAGTGTAGAAGGGGCCTGAGACTCTCTTGATCCTAGCAGAAGTTGACCACAGAATCACACTGGAGGATCTAGAGATGTTTCTAGAGAGAACATATTAATCAAATCCTTGGATAATTAAACCTAGGAAAATGTAGAGGGTCAACAATAAAATAAACACATATCATCAATCACATTTCAAAAACCTTCTAGCTACATTACCTGCAAAGTGAATGGTTGATTCTTTCTCTTGGTTGAGGAGGCTGTTCCGGACCACACAAGTCAAGGACTGATTTGAACCTTCTGTTAGAAGAATGTCCTTCTGTACTTCAAACAGCCCATCGTTCTTCTGGGATGTTTCCTCAGCCAAAAAGAACAGATGCCTCCCACTGGGATCTCTCCAAAAGACCTCGGGCTCTGGGTACCAACCCCTGGATTGGCAAACCAAGTAGATCCCTCTCTCCTGATAACGTTCAATGGAAATGAGAGGAGTAGAGCCTGATGCTAAATTCCAGACAAGCACAAATAAAATATTTATATTTGAAATGGCAATCGTTTATTCAAAGCCATGTAACAAACCTGTCAACCATAATGGCATTTACCTACTGGACATGAACTATGACATTAACAGGTTTCTTTTTAGAAGTTTCTGAACTCTAGTCTCCATAACTGTACAACTTAGGATTTGTTATCAGTAAACATTTGATTTTTATATCTATATGGCTGGTGTCATGTAAAAATTTCTTGGACCAGAAGGCGTCCTGAGTGGAAAAGTTAAGAAGCCAGCTTTATGATCTGTGGTGATCCCCAAATTTCAAGATGGGAAAGAAAGGGAAAATGCCCTCAGATAATATCTTGGTGAAATGGGAAGAGGTACGATCAAATGTATAAAGAGTGGCCACATACAAAGGTTGTTATTTCACTCTTAAATAACAACCTTCTACAAGCCTCCTATACTAATAGTTGTTATGTATATAATTCAGATTGCTTACTGAATTGTATATGTGCGCATTGGTATGCAGTTTTTGCTTAACTCTATGTTGTTTGAGGTTGTGTGAGGGGCTGACCATGTGATCAGATCTGGGACTATTCAGACTCAGACTCCATTTTAGAAGTCAGAGTGTTGTATAGTAAATGTGTTTGTTATGTATTAAATATAAGACAGAGAAGAGACTGCAACAGAGTGCCTTAGAGAACTTACTGTTTAACTTTCAACTGATAAGCAATGTACCTGTATGCTGAATATGTGAAGTTTGTAAGTAAACCAACTATGCTATTTTTAATGAAGACTAGCATATTTTTGTCTCTTGAGAACATTATTTAAAGCCAAATATATTTTATGGGAGAGTAGATGTTTTTAGGCAACCGAAATAACACTTCTGAAGATCTGCTATATATTTTGTGCATTGGCAAATCTTTGTTCCTAACAGTTCAAAGAGATAACCAGGTATATCAGTCTAACAGCTGAGAAACCTAATTTGCCTTGCATGAATACTAGTGGATATTAAAGAGAAGATTCACTCGAATGAGTTTTTAGCTTTTCTCAAGAAGATCATACTTTACAAAATGGTTATGATAATTTCAAATGGTGTGAATGCCAATTAATCTCCAAAAGCTGATGCTTCCAAAAGGCTTTGGACATTCTGGTTTTCCAGAAGGTTATAGTTTCAAAGGTCATCACTACTCAGAGCATTTTAACCATCATGCTTGCTTCCTATTGAATCATGAGATTTGTAGTTTAGTGAGGTACTAGAGCTCTTTTTTCCGAAAATTCCAATAACCCTTCCCTAAATTGCATATCCACTGGATGTTGCCATTCAATAATAAACTTTATTTATAACCCGCCACCATCTCCCCAAAGGGGACTCGGGCGGCTAACATGAGGCCAAGCCCAAAAGTAATACAACATAATAGACACAAAACAATAGAGAATACATCACAACAAAATACATAAAATAACAAAATAAAACAAACAGTGCAAAATAACCTAATAAAAATCAAACACATGGCTAGAATATAAGGCTAGAATTATCTGATATGAAGGAACTCTCCTAGCTCACTTCTTACACATGTTGACATGTGACTGGAGTTTCATAACTTTAGCAGAAGATCCTGAAGGATATTGTTCTTTACAGTTGTATCACTGCTTTATCATTCCAAGCCTGTATTTATCCTGCCATTGCCAGTATCTGCCACGTAGCCGTATCAATAAACTAAAATAAATAAATAAATACATAAGCCTGTGCTACTATCATATAAGATTACACATACTGATGTCAAATAAAAATTAAAGAATCAGTTCTATGATAATATGTTTTAGTGAACCTGATTAAATCTATTTTGATAAAAGCTGACATTATCCCATGACCTGTATTGTTCACTGAGCTCTGTTATTTGTGCTTTTCTATAAATACTGTAATTGCAATATTATGTGCCCAGGGCCAATAGCCTCATGTAATGGCTAGTGTTACATATAGTACCAGACCCTTAGGATATTCTTTTCAAATCACAAACCTAGATACATTCTGTGCTGGTTACATAGACCTCAAATAAGGATTACCATGTATATGTTAGATCAGAATTCCTCAAACTAAGGCCTGAGGGCCGGATACGGCCCTCCAAGGTAATTTACCCGGCCCTCGCTCAGGGTCAACCTAAGTGTGAAATGACTTGAAAGCACACAACAACAACAGCCAAATGCAGGCCCACACTTCCCACTAAAATACTAATAAGTTTATATTTGTTAAAATTGCAATTTAAATATTGTATTGTTTTTAATTGGAATTTTTTGCACTACAAATAAGATATGTGCAATGTGTATAGGAATTCTTTTTTTTTTCCAAATTATAATCTGGCCCTCTGACAGTTTGAGGGACTGTGACCTGGCCCTCTGTTTAAAAAGTTTGAAGACCCCTGTGTTAGATAACGACCACTTTATCATTGTCTGTATTATTTACAAAACTGTTTCATTAACAGGGCAGAAGCCACTAGGGGGCGCAAGACAGAGAAGGATAGTATTGAATTTTTGTCTTCTTGCTCAGCTTCAGGGCTCATCCTGGCTTTATGTCCCCTCTTAGGGATACAGCAGAACTGATATTTCAGTCTTACCCAAAATTTCGCACTTTCGACCTTGTGACAAAATCTTAACTGCCTAGAGTCAGGCTGGATCTACACTGCCATATAATCCGGATTATTGGGTTGTTGTAGGTTTTTTCGGGCTATATGGCCATGTTCTAGAGCAGTGGTTCTCAACCTGGGGTCCCCAGATGTTTTTGGCCTTCAACTCCCAGAGATCCTAACAGCTGGTAAACTGGCTGGGATTTCTGGGAGTTGTAGGTCCAAAACACCTGGGGACCCCAGGTTGAGAACCACTGTTCTAGAGGCATTTTCTCCTGACGTTTCGCCTGCATCTATGGCAAGCATCCTCAGAGGTAGTGAGGTCTGTTGGAACTAGGAAAAAAGGTTTATATATCTGTGGAATGACCAGGGTGGGACAAAGAACTCTTGTCTGTTGGAGCTAGGTGTGAATGTTTCAACTGACCGCCCTGATTAGCATTTGATTGTCTGGCAGTGCCTGGAGCAATATTTTGTTGAGAGGTGATTAGATGTCCTTGTTTGTTTCCTCTATGTTGTTGTGCTGTTCTAATTTTAGAGTTGTTTTTAATACTGGTAGCCAGATTTTGTTCATTTTCATGGTTTCCTCCTTTCTGTTGAATTGTCCACGTGCTTGTGGATTTCAATGGCTTGTCTATATTATTATAATCCAGTTCAAATAAGAAAATCTGGATTTTATATGGCAGTGTAGATCCAGCCTCAGTCAGGAGATGACAAGTATAGGATTTACATTTTTTTAAAAATAGCACATAGTTGCATCAGTTAGAAAAGTTTTACTTGTCACTTACCTGCCACTTTTATATCCAGTGTGGCTTCCTGATGGAAGCTCCTGTTCTTCACAGAGCAGTGATACTGTCCTTCATCAAATAAGCTGATATTAGAAATCCTCAGGCCGATCTTACCATCCCCAATGCCCTCTGTCAACAATTCTGTTCTTCCTTGGTATTCTGGCTGCTGCTTTTCCAAATGCTCTTTGCCATTGTGATAAAGGTGCACGTATGAAGAATTCTGGGAGCGAAACCATTTTATTTCCATGTTTTCTGCACTCATTCTGGGGGACAGATGACAGCGCAGCACAATATCCTCACTCAAAGAGGCAATGACTGGGTGGAGTGGCCCAGTCACGGTAAATTGTACTGTGAAATGTACCAAACATAGAACAAATCAGCACAAGCAGCTATTTTAGATTCTCAAACCATGTGCTGCAGCAAAATAACATGGTCAACTCACATTTTGGTGCCTCAAATATCAATTATACCCCGTTTATGCGTATATTTGACCTTCTGGTTAAAAAAAATGACACCAGTTTTCCCTTATCAGCTCTAGTTTTTGAGATACAGACCATATGGCATCTACCAGTCTTCATCTGCTTGAAAAATCATGATAACCATATCTAAGAAACTAGAGCTGATAGTCATTCTAATTTATGTACTCCAGGAACAGTCCTAAAAACCAAGACACCAAGAATTTTTGGGGGGACGTGTAATACATTAAAATGTAAACATGATATGTGTTTTGATAAACTGGGCCACCATGTTGAATATATTAGGGCTGGTTTTAACATTAGATGGAATGACATGGCTGCCTTCAAGTCATTTTGGACTTATGGAGACCTTGGGGCAACCTATTATGGGGATTTCTTAGCACTTTTTTCAGAGGGTATTTGCCATTGCCTTCCTCTGACAATGAAAGAATGTCACTTGCCCAAAATTTGAATCCTCGTCTCCAGAGTCCTAGGGGTTGTTGACACTGATGGAAAAAATATGTTTGGCACCACATTTTGCTTGCCCACATTGATCCTGCAGTGACCCCATTAATATCACATGCATCAGACATATTACAGTGAGATCATCATAACCGGCTACACATCTCATCCTGGCAAACTCACCCTGCTGTTAAGGAGCAGTCCACATTTCTAATCTGTCATATTATTTTCAAAGACACGGTGATAGGCACTTTGTCCCCCAAGCCAATCATGGATGCAGATAAATGTGTGTGTGTGTGTGTTTTTTTTGTTAAGCAGCAGTGTGCTAATGCTAATATGCTGTCATACGAGTATTCACACACATGAACCTTTCTTTTGTTAAATCAACATGGGAAAAAACATTTCCTATCAGGAATGCTCACCTCCTCATCAACCAGTTCCTTACACCAATAACCCCCATGCAATTACACTGCAAAGTCTGGATTTTTTTGGGGTATAGAAAGCATTTAAAAATGGTTTAAGACCCAAATAAGTGAATTGCAAACCAATTGTCATGGAAGTTGTGTGTCAGGATCAGAACACCTAATAATAATAATAATAATAATAATAATAATAATAATAATAATAATAATCTTTATTTGTACCCCATTACCATCTCCCCAAGGGACTCGGTGCAGCTTACATGAGGCCGAGCCCACAATACAACAATACAAGCAATAACCATAACAATACATGCATTTAAAATAAATCACATAGACAATAACATAAGCATTGACAATAGTACAGAACACTTCAAAATCTATGGCTGGGCCAAATGTAATTAAAAAAATTAAAATGATGCTGGTCATGGACGAGATAAGGAAATGGAGCGTTGTGGAAACTACTAGATAAGTACAAGTTTTTAAGTCTGTATAGACAAGCTTCCTAGTCCAATATTCAAAATACAAATCACCATACTGGTTCTATTTATAGCTGGGGGAGGAATATTTACAACTCTCAGCCAGAGCTATGCTATCTCACAAAATAGAAGATGGAGCTGTGACGCTTTCAGTGGGACCTGAGTGCTATAACTGTGTAATGAAAAGGTCCTTCCACACTGAGATAAAACCCCAGAGGAAGCAGGTTAAATCAACTCGGGTTCTAGTCCCCACCCCCAACCCAAAATTTACGGAAAGGGATTGCTAAATGGTATCCGGGGTCAAAATCCTGTTTACTCTGCATTAATTCGCTTTTATCTGAAGTATAATTTGGACACCTCAGGTAAAAAGCAAGACAGGTCCCGCATTTTGGTCCTGTCTGGAAGAGCCCTGAGAGAGTCTTCTCCTTCCAGAAAATACATTTCAGGCACAGCTAACATAGATGAGGATTCTTACCCGGGCTCACGTTATTAATAGGTAAAATAACAAAGAAAAGGAACAGAAAGCAGCTCATTTCCGGGGCATAAGGGAAGACAGGAAATTTCATTTTTTTTTCTTTCCTTGTTCTTATTTCCAGGGAACAATGCAAACTCTATGGGGGGAAAAAGAAAGGAAGAGACATCAGAAGGATAATGTAAACACACAATTTGTTTATAACACAGTGTCCTCTTCTAGGATAAATGCCATAATATGTTGATGAGACAATGGTTTTTGGTGACTAGCCATGAAATGCTGAACGGATGTTTCTGTTACATAAGTAGGAGAAATAAATAATTTATGGCACAGCATATTATTTTAGGCTCCAGATTTATAAACAGGTAATTGTAATAAATGTTTTTCTCTCTCTTTTCACAGGGAATTAATCTCTGTTAAAAACTTCCACTGGAAACTGATGAGAAACAGAGCAACTGGAACCACAGAAAAAAATAATGGATAACATCAAAATACCATGAAAGCCCATCCAAGTATCTCAGGATTTTTAAGCATGGGCAGCACCAAAATACCATGAAAGCCAATGGGAATATATCAGGAAATTATCACGAGAGGCTGTAAACATGGGTCTGGCATTGCAAACCCATTTAGGTTTGAGCTGGAGCATGCCAGACACTTTCCTTATGGCACCAATCTCTTCCTGAAATGCTTGACGAAACTGGCCAGTGCTTTTAAATTACTGCTAGTGCTGGGACTTGACTCCTCCCAATGTGTGAATTGCCCTCGTTTGTCCATTCCCATCCCTTTATTTTTTATTTCCAAAAGAATTATGCTACTCCAAAATCTCATGAGAATATGGCTTTAATGATGTCCATAACTTCACAAGTGCTATCCCTGTAAATACTTTAATAATAATAAAAAAGGAAATAAGCATTATGCAATTACCAGCTTTTCTCTGATTTGTGTATTCTGCAAGGTGTGTGTGTGTGTGTGTTTGTTGACTCCTCATTGCCAAACCAACTCAGCTGGTGTTTGCAGAAGTTTTCCTTTAAAACTTGCTGGGATGTTTGTAAAAGAACCAAGGATCGTAAGCAAACAGTCCAGAAATGTCTAAACAAGAAGAGGAATGCATAGTATTGATCCATGGCAGCTAAAGTGGTGTGAAACTGCATTAATTCTACAGTGAAGGTGCACTCTATGTTGTACACACACAGTAGAGTCTCGCTTAAACAGGCTGGCAGAACATTGGATAAGCAAAAATGTTGGATAATAAGGAGGAATTAAGGAAAAACCTATTAAATGTCAAATTACCTTATGATTTTACAAATTAAGCACCAAAACATCATGTTTTACAACAAATCAACAGAAAAGACAGTTCAATATGCAGTAACATTATGTAGTAGGCTTTCCCCTGACTTTAAGTCCAGTCGTGTCGAACTCTGGGGGTTGGTGTTCATCTTCATTTCTAAGCCAAAGAGCCAGTGTTGTCCATAGACACCTCCAAGGTCACATGGCCAGCATGACTGCTTGGAGCACTGCTACCTTCCCACCGGAGCAGTACCTATTGATCTACTCACATTTGCATGTTTTCATCCTGCTAGGTTGGCAGAAGCTAGGGCTAACAGTGGGAGCTCATGCCACTCCCCGAATTCCAACAGCTGACCTTTTGGTAAGCAAGTTCAGCAGCTCAAGTTCAGCAGTATTGAAACAGCTGTGGGTTCGGGCAGGAGACAGACTGCATTGGATAATACAGAACATTGGATGAGTGAAGGTTGGAGAAGTGAGACTATTGCATTTAGAAAGTGTGAAGGAAATCAAAGAATGTAGCAAAAATCCCCTATCAACTTCCCCATAGACACATCTACTACTGGAAGCATTGTGAATGAAAATCTTCTCAAATGGTCCCATCCCTTAGAGCTGCGTTAGACTTCTTGATGTATCAACAATTACCACAGTTTCCTTTACCTTAGGGATGAACAGCATGTGTTGCTAATTCCTTGGATCTTTATCAGCTTCCATTTCCTGAAAACAAATGCCCATTCAACGTGGATCTCCTCTTCTTCATTCACTTCTGGTTATAGGACCTCCCTTTTTCCATAGCTATTCTTCATCAATCAATGGAAAGAAGCATGCTGCCCAGAAAGTTCCTCTGACTGTGACTGAACATATGTTGGTCACTGTTAAGTTTGTCTTTTAATACTCTCTATCTCTTTCCTTGCTATCAGTGGCCAGCATATGGGATAACAAAAGAAGATGTAAACGTCATCAGCAGCTAATCACCAACAGCCAGTTGAACGTATACAGACATAGCAGCCTAATTTGTTTCTGAGAGACTAACTAGTTGGAGAAATGTTTTTTTTGACTCAACCGAGTTAATTGAGAAAAAAAATCTCCATACAGTTATATAACCCAGAATATCAAGGCAGAAAATCCACAATATCTGCTTTCAACTGGGTTGTCCACACTGCCATATAACCCAGCTCAAAGCGGAAAATGTCAGATTTTATTCAGCTGTGTGGAAGGGCCTAAGTTAAATCTGCATACAGTGAGCCCTTGGTATCTGCTAGGGCTTTGGTTCCAGGAGCACTGCTACCTTCCCACCAGAGCAGTACCTATTGATCTACTCACATTTGCATATTTTCGAGCTGCTAGGTTGGCAGAAGCTGGGGCTAACAGTGGGAGCTCATGCCGCTCCCCGGATTCGAACCACTGACCTTTTGGTAAGCAAGCTCAGTGGTTGGTACCTTGTGGGTACCAAAACCTGTGGGTTCCCCAATCCCATTAAATACAATGGCATTGGAAAAAGGTGTCCCTTGCATAAAATGGCAAAAGGAGGGTTTGATTTTTGGAGTTTTTCACAAATACTTTCAAAATACATAGATTGTTGAATCCATGGATGCAGAACATGTTGATACAGAGGATTGGCTGTATATCTGCATAGTGTCACAGGACATTTGGAATTCTCCTTATACCAAAATAGTCTGTCTTTCTGGCAGCAGCTCCCATGTTAATGCAGTGTTTGGAAGAGTGCATTTGGAGATAGCAGCTACACACATCCTCCAGCCAATATGAAAATGGCCATGTTTGGATTAGACCAAAGGCCTATCTACCCCTAAGGAAGGGAAATTCACTACTGAAAGAATTATCATGGGGGGGGGGGGGGATGTGGTTCCATTGAAGCTTTCTCATCAATTCTTGTTTCCACAACAAGCCACATATTTCAAAATCACAGGGATAGAAAGTGAAGTGAAATCTGGACAGGGGCACACAGAGCAGAACCCTTCTCTATGCTATCCAAAACCTGTGTGTGTGTGACATTGTTACCTTGTTGCGGTGAGGGGGATGGATTATCACTTTGTCGTGGTGAGGGGGCTTGCGTGTTCCAATGAATCTGTGAGCGTAACCACTAGAGTCATGCATTCCCAGGAGGGGCTGCAGCGGAGGTTCTAGATCAAGCACAATCCAAAGACTTGAAGACCTCAACGGCGGATCAGGTGGAGGATAACATGGTACATGTTACAATGACTGTGAAGGCGAAAGAAGGCTGCAACAGATTGAGAAGCCACTGTTTTTGTGTTAATCATGCCACTGGTTGGACATCACTCTGTGAAGACTGTGTGCTGATCAGCTGTGGACCATCCTCCACACATTAAAATAAAACTCATGCACAGGCATCTTTCAAGAAAAATAAAAACAAACAAAAACTGTGGCATAGACACAGAGAAGTGGGAAGCCTTGGCCCTTGAGCACTCTAACTGGAGGTCAGTTGTGACCATCAGTGCTGCAGAATTCAAATAGGCACAAATGGAAGGTGAAAAGAAGAAATGTACCAAGAGGAAGGCACCTCAAGCCAACCTTGACTGGGACCACCTTCCACCTGGAAGCCAATGTCCTCACTTTGGAAGAACATGCAGATCAAGAATAGGGCTCCAGAGCCACCCACGGACCCATCACCAAGACACTACACTTGGAGAACCATCATCCTTGTACAATGAGGGATCACCTAAGTAAGTTCAGAGGGATCACCTAAGTAAGTGGGGTAAGGGCTTGTGTAATACAATTACAAGGGCTGGTAGTAAAGTGCAAAAGCCAGATAATTAAATTAGGGCTAGAAGGGCCACATCAATTGATGAACTAATCAATCAACGGAACATTGGAACACCCAAGTTTTTAGGTCTTTACGGAAGGTGGTCAGGGTGGGCACTAATCTAATCTTCCTGGAGAGAGAGTTCCTGAGCTGGGGGGGGGGGGGGGGGGGGGGGGGGGGGGGGGGGGTCACCACTTCTGCTTGTGACAGAGGTGGGAGCAAGAGAAGGGCCTCCTCAGCATAACTCAAAGCTCATGCAGATTCATAGGAGAAGATGCAATTGTGAAGATAGAAGATTATATATATATAGCTCGAGCTACACTTTAGAAATGTACCTGTTCTGACTTACAAACAAATTCAACTTAAGAACAAACCTACAGAACCTGCCTGTTCTTTGGGGACTGCCTTTATATATATTGAATAATAATACGAGCAATTATATATTAAAGTAGATATGAATGCATTGTCCCCAAAGTTCCAAGCATCCATTGCAGGACCTGACTGCAAAAGTCATCTCCCCTTACTGCTCATTCATATGGCAACATTTGGATAAGTCCTAAATAGAATATATGAAACATTTGGACATGGAGAAGAAACAATAAGGACCTCATTCTTTTATTCCTTTCTAAATGTGTGTTCATTTGTTCAGTCATTTCTGACGCTTCGTGATCACAACATGCTTCAATTGATTTGATTCTCCAGTAGGGTTGCACATTTGGGGTAAACCTTGACACGTTTCATGTCCCAGCTTTCGGTGGGGGTCCTGATTCGTCTTTGGGAGCCTCCTGAAATCGGGAGGGCAGATACCTAGGGTGCTGATCTATTTCCTATTGGCCCATTATGTGTGTGTGTGGGAGGGTGGTGGTGGTGGGATGGGGTGGTGGTGGGGGCTTTCTAGGATCCCCTTCTTGTGTGCTTTAAGGAGGCTTCTTACCTGTTGTTTCTTTCTACTCTAGAGGAGGCGCTCGGCTGCTGGCACTGGCTGGTGCATGCAGTTTCTGGGTCTGCATGCCACACACGAACTCGCTTTGCTCAGTGTGAAGGCCCAGAAAATGCACATGCCTGCCAGTGCCTGTAGCCAAGCACCTCCTCTAGAGTAAGAATTGGCTGCAGGCACTGGCAAGCCCATATGCACTGTCTCTCCCAGACTACACCATGCCAGCTAGCCACACACTCTTTCCATTCCAAGGCATTTTAAGGAGGCTTCCCATTTCCAGGTAAGGAAGAGTGATTACCTCCTGGAAGAGGAGAGTTGTTTTCAGGGAATGAGGGTTTGATGGAGGATTAACAAAAAGCATTAAACAGTGATATCGAAAAGCAGACTTGGAGCCTGGATCGGCTCCTGCTTGCTTTTGCGGTGAGTTGATTTTCATACTGGGAGGGATATTCCCGTTACGTGCTCCTGAAGTAACAAAAGAAACGAAGGCAACGGGAGAAACCAATTCTGTGCACAACTCTATTCTCTACCAATAACTTATGCACCAATACAATGAAATGTTATACAACCTTCATTTATTTGAGAGATAGCCATAGGACTTTTATGATTTACACAAGCAAATATTTTGTTATAACACATAAAGCACAATTTGGTTTTCTCAGGAAGTTCTGTGATGTATTTCATTGGCCAACAGAAAAAAATTGCAATATGATCTCTTGTCCTTTTGGTTTTCTGAACATGGCTTGGATATTTTTTGGGGATTTTTTTTTTTTACCAAAGGCTTCATTGTAAAATTCTGAACATTACTTTGCTTATGCAGAAAAAAAATAGACTTAAAGGTGCCAAATGACTCATTCCTTCTTTTTTATACTGAAAAAAGAGTAATACAACTGAAAATTGGTTCTGTGTAGCCCACTTCAACTGCCATGGCTCAGTGTTATGAAATCAAGGGAGTTGTAGTTTTACAAGGTTTTTAGCTTGATCTGCCAAAGAGTGCCAGTGTCTCACCAGACTACAAATTCAAAGACTACATAGCACTGGACCATGGCAGTTAAAGTGTAAATGCATCCATAGCCAATGAATATGTGTTTTGTTTAATGCACTGTGGGTCTTTCTTGGAAAATCCCCATTGTCTTGTTTCCAACTGCAGCTTCTGGCATCTCAAGAAATCTGCTTCACTCACACTTTGAGTGAAACAGTTGCCCCTACATAGAAGAAGGGGCGAATAATCTCCCCTTTAAAAGAGGCTTTCTGTACAGTGACCTTATTCTCCAGGTTAAAAGTCACTGTTCCCTGCTCATAATCCAGAGATATCTTGATCTTTGCAGGGTGTTTGGGAGGTTGGTGGGAATCAGTTTCCCCGCGACGAAGCCACCAAAGACCCACCTGCCAAATCCCTTCCTCTGGTGTCATGCTGACATACCCTTTCCTTTGCACAGACGCCCGGGCCACCCCTGCTGCCCATTCCCTCTGGCCTCCATACTCCACCTCCCAGTAGTGTTTCCCCTTGGTGAATCTTGGGGTACCCAGCAAACAATAGCTGGCATTGAACCTCTCTGGATTGTCAGGAACATTTTGGGGTTCAGGTAGCCACGTCACAGTCTTCTTGTTTGGAGACACACGGAGATTTGGGTGTGCAGTGATTGGATCAAAAAGTACATTGGCTGCAAAAGAGAAATCAGAGCATTAGAGACAGAATCAAATTTGAGAGGAATAGAGTTTGGCCCCTTCTACGCTGCCATATAAAATCCAGATTATTTGCTTTGAACTGGATTATATGGTAGTGTAGACTCAGATAATTCAGTTTAAAGCAGTTAATGTGAATTATCTGCTTTAATAATCTGAACTATATGGCCTTTGACAGTGAGGCCTTTGACAGTGTCACTGATAGACATCTTTTTCTCTCATTGGAGCATTAAGTAATACAAAACTGAGACCCCTTCTATACTACCATATAAAATCCAGATTTTCTGCTTTAAACTGGATCATCTGGCAGTGTAGACTCAGATAATCCACGTTTAAAACAATAAACGTGGATTATCTGCTTTGATTATATGGCAGTATAGAAGGGCCCAGACTAGTCTTGTTCAACTGCAGCACTTCCTCATGAGTTAAAATTATACCTCCTTGGCTATTTATATGGTTAGGAAATCAATGTGGCATTATGTTGATTTATCTTATGGTTTGAATGCAGCAGTTTTGACAAATGTTTCACACCAAGTTCCATGCAGTATCTATCTAAAGTCAGCAATCTTCCTGAAAAAAAAAGCTGAAGTTTTTCATCTACATTGCCAAATAACCAAGTTTGAAACCACATTATATGAGTTGACTCTGACCATATATTGCAGCTTCAAAAGCACTATATGGCAGTGGAGATGGGGCCTAGTCAGTCCCACGGTGTGTGAATACAGCATGTGGAGTTGTATAGCATAAGCAACAAAACAAAAAGTCACAGTTCTGCCATCGATTGATTCAGCCCTTTTGTCCACCTTGGAAAGTTTTGCCACTCGGCTCCAGGGAAGGGGAATATATGGCCTTCTAGATGTTTCCAGAGTAACTAAAACTTCCATCATGCCATTCTCTTCCCCACATTGCTCCCAAGCTGATGATTTTATTTTGTTTTTTATCTAAAACATCACAGTACTTTTTTGCCTTTTAAAAGTTATTCATTGCTGGAACTGCAAATTAACCAATAATAATAATACAGTAGAGTCTCGTTTATCCAACCTTTGCTCATCCAGTGTTCTGTATTATCCAACGCAGTCTGCCTCCCACCCAGATTTACAGCTGTTTCAATACATTGCGATGTTTTGGTGCTAAATTTGTAAATACAGTAATTACTACGTAACGTTGCCATGTATTGAACTGCTTTTTCTGTCAATTTGTTGTAAAACATGATGTTTTGGTGCTTAATTTGTAAAATCATACTGTAATTTGATGTTTAATGGGATTTTCCTTTATCCGTCCTTATTATCCAACATTTTTGCTTATCCAACATTCTGCCGGCCTGTTTATTTTGGATAAGTGAGTCTCTACTGTAATAATAATAATAATAATAATAATAATAATAATAATAATAATAAGCCACAGAAGTGTAGAATAGTGATATTACAAGGGTATACAGAAGTACAATCATGGGATCATGGATTTTTTAATAGTCATGATTGTGCAAATGAAGAGAGATGTGATATCAAAGGTGCTCCTCTTGGTATGCATCTGTTATCAATCATAGCACAAGTACCATGGATAGCAACTCCATGCAATAAGGTCCTTAAACTGACCCAGGACTGTTTATGACAACGGCTATGTCTCCCTGTGATAGGTGATGTTATTCTATGTGTAGTATTTAATAATGTTTAATGTTTTATTAGGGGAGGGACTGTTACGCTGTTTTTATCAATGGCATTGAATGGTTGCCAACACTGTGAGTCTCCTTCGGGGTTGAGAAGGGTGGTATACAAATATCTCAAATAAATAATAAATCACAAATAATAAATAAACTTCATCTTAGAATTTTATTTTAAAATTTCCTTTGGATTCACTGGAGAAAAGCTGGCAGGCAAAAGAAGTGGAAAGACACTTAAGTCTCTGTACAAATCAAAACATCTTTCCCCCTGCTTTTTGGTAATCCCATGTTGGTTAAAATGGGACTGCTGCATTTTCATAAGCCTGCTGTTTCCCTTGCTTTACTCCTTTTGGGATAACATGTATAGCACATTGAACTACAACAATTGCAACTGAAACAATGTTAACTGCACTGGGGATTTCTTGTGTTACCATCCATTTTAATAAGATGAGTTCTAGAGTTGTGCAAATTTATTTTGAACACGTTATTGAGGCACCTTTCAGCAGTGGCCCTATCTACACTGCCATATAAAATCCAGATTACCTATTTTGAACTGTATTAAATGGCAGAGTAGACTCATACAATCAAGTTCAAATCAGATAATGTGGATTATCTGGTTTGATAATCCGTATTATATGGCAGTGTAGATCCAGCCAGAGTCCCTCCCAACCACTTAATCAATTCTTTACCTTTGTGACTCTTACCTGGTGTTGAAGCCAGGACCTTCCCGCCACCTTCGAATTCGGCAAGAAAACACAATGAGAGCCACAGAACGCAGCAGAGTCCTGCAGAAGGACAGACAGAAGAAGTCAGCAGTGGCTTTGAAAATGCCTCATGAGCTTTATGAGCATATTTTTACAGCAGCCTTGTAAAGTAGACCACAATTTCCCTTCCTTTACAGATGGTGCACAATTTGTCCACTTCTGGCTAAAGAGAACAAGGTCAGATGTTTGCTGTGGCCTCACAATCAGCAAAGAAATATTTTCCACTAACACTAGGTGGACATTTTTGCATGACACACCCAAGATGACCAGAAGTGGGGCAACAGTGGTGTAAATTCTCACATTGCACTTCCCAACATATTTAGGATAAAAAATCAATCAACACCATTCAGTGATGGACCCTGAACTCATTCTGACATTGAATTGTCCAAAAGATAGCCAGTATAGTGAAATGAATCATAGAATCATAGAATCAAAGAGTTGGAAGAGACCTCATGGGCTATCCAGTCCAACCCCCTGCCAAGAAGCAGGAATATTGCATTCAAATCACCCCTGACAGATGGCCATCCAGCTTCTGTTTAAAAGCTTCCAAAGAAGGAGCTTCCACCACACTCTGGGGCAGAGAGTTCCACTGCTGAACAGCTCTCACAGTCAGGAAGTTCTTCCTCATGTTCAGATGGAATCTCCTTTCTTGTAGTTTGAAGCCATTGTTCTGTGTCCTAGTCTCCAGGGAAGCAGAAAACAAGCTTGCTCCCTCCTCCCTGTGGCTTCCTCTCACATATTTATACATGGCTATCATATCCCCTCTCAGCCTTCTCTTCTTCAGGCTAAACATGCCCAGCTCCTGAAATGGTTTGAGAATTGAACTATGATTCTAGAGATTAGGGGTGAATCCCCACTTTGCCATGGTAACCCATTGAGTGACCTTGTGTAAGTTGCACTCTCTCAGTCTCAGAGGAAGACAATAGCAAAACTCTCTAAATGGTGGTTCTCAAGCTGGTGTTTTGGCCTACAACTCCCAGAAATCCCAGCCAGTTTACTAGCTGTTAGGATTTCTGGGAGTTGAAGGCCAAAACATCTGGGGATCCACAGGTTGAGAACCATTGATCTAAACAAATCTTGCCAAGAAAACTATGTGATAGATTTGTCTTAGGGTTGCCATCAATCAGAAATTACTTGGAGACACATAATCATAAAGAAAATAATAGGTGCCAGCATACCCAAATCCTGTTATTGTGACCAGCACACTCAAATCTAGATCTTGTTCATAACCCCATCGGTGATTAATCTTTGCCATCTGCATGTGTGATCACAACTCCATTTATTTATTTATTTATTTATTTATTTATTTATTTATTTATTTATTTATTTATTTATTTATTTGAAACAGCTATATTCCACCCTTCTCACCCTGCAGGGGACTCAGGGCAGAGCACAACATATATACGGCATAAAACCATAAATATATACAAACATTAAAATCACTTATATACACATTAAAAGTTGCTTTAAAACCATCTCAGGACACAATTTTTCCTCATTGCACTGTCCCAAAGGCTTGGTCCCACAGCCAGGTCTTCATCATCCTTCTGAAGGATAGGAAGGAGGGGGCTGATCTAATATTGCTAGGAAGGGAGTTCCATAACCGGGGGGGGGGGGGCAATCACTGAAAAGGCCCTGTCTCTTGTCCCTGCCAAACGCACCTGTGATGGTGGCGAGACCGAGAGCAGGGCCTCCCCAGAAGATTGAGTTTCTGCAGTGGTTCGTAAAAGGAGATACATTCAGACAGGTAAACTGGGCCAGAGCCAGCCAAAGCCAGCACTTTGAATTGTGCCCGGTAGCAAACAGGCAGCCAGTGGAGCTAACGTAACATGGGAGTTGTGTTCTCCCGGTATGCCACCCCAGTTATTAACCTGGCTGCCTCTCGTTGGACTGTTTGAAGCTTCCGAACCGTCTTGAAAGGCAACCCCACATAGAGTGCGTTGCAGTAGACTATCCTGGATGCAACGAGAGCATGGACCACTGTGGCCAAATCTGATTTCCAAGGTACAGGCACAGCTGGCACACAAGATTTAATTGTGCAAAAGCCCCCCTAGCCACCGCTGCAACCTGAGGATCCAGGCTCAGCGACGAGTCCAGGAGGACTCCCAAGCTGCGAATTTGTGCCTTCAAGGTGAGCGTAACCCCATCCAGCTCTGTCTTGTCAGGATTCAACTTCAGTTTGTTTGCCCTAACCTCCACTGCTTGCTAGTCCTGATGGGAGCCAGAGCTGAAGAACCTATATAAAACCAGTATTGACCCTTGAACTAATTCAACATTTATGAGGCCGATTTCCTGGGGGGGAAATAACATTAAAATATATTATTCATTTACCTCCAAATGTCTGGGGGACACCTCTCACCTTCATGGCAGCCAGGGTATCTTTCTTCTCACAGAAGACAAAACAGAGAAGTTAAAAGCAAGAAAGGAATAATAGAGTCTTAGAGTTGGAAGGGGCTGGAACTGCAGAGGGCCCTTCCAGACAGGCCCAAAAACCTGTAATGGGTCACAAGTTAACCTGAGGTACCCACTACAAAATTGTTGGAGGTGCAATAAAGAAAGAAACTGAGATTGATATACATTTTTCCAAATATAGCACTTCTACAAAATTTTGGAGATATAAAATTAAAATGGCAAAAGAAAGAATTAATATTTTGTTGCTGTTCTAAGATTAATTATAGCCAAAAAATGGAAAGAAAATTATGAATATGAAATTGATAATTGGTACAAAGATGTGATATACAATGTAAGAAGGGACTAATAAAAAGAAATGATTTTGAGTCAAAATGGGATTGAGTTATAGAATCCGAGTTGGAAGATTTGGGCCTGTCTGGAAGGGCCCTCCGTGTTTCTCATGATGCCTCTTCAAATATTTAAAGATGGCTATCATGTCATAGTCTTATCTTCTCCAAGGCCCTATCATACTGCCCTATAATCCAGTTACAGAATGTGGATTACCTACATTGAACTGGGTTATATCAGTCTACACTGCCCTATAATCTAGTTCAATGCAGTTAATCTGAATTCCGAAACTGGTTTATAGGCAGAGGGAGTTTAGCTCCCTCTATTGTTCCTCACAAGGCTTAGTTTCCAGAGCCTTGTGAGGCCCTTCCACACAGTCATATAACCCAGAATATCATGGCAAAAAACACACAATATCTGCTTTGGACTGGGTTGAGTCCACACTGCCATATATTCCAGTTCAAAGCAGATAATGTGAGACTTTATTCAGCTGTGTGGAAAGGGCCTTTGTAAACTATTCCGGCCCAGCTTACCTGTCCAAACGTATCTCCTCCTATGAACCATCTAGGAGCTTAAGATCGTCTGGGGAGGCCCTGCTCTCTATCCCGCCTGCCTCGCAAGTGCGATTGGCAGAGACGAAGGACAGGGTCTTCTCAGTGGTGGCCCCCTGACTATGGAACTCCCTCTCCAGGATATTAGATCAGCCCCTTCCCTCCTGACTTTCCAAAAAATGTAAAGACCTGGCTCTTTGAACAAGCTTTTGAGAATGCAGCGGAATGGATAACACGGAACTATGAATGATGAACATGGAATGGCCATGTTACTGGATAACATTTTTAACAAGATGACACCAATGATTATATGCTTTAATGGTTTTTATTTATGTTTTATATTGTAATGTTGATTTTTTAATGGCACTTTTATGAATGCCTGACATCGAATTGTGCCAATCTGTAACCCACCCTGAGTCGCAGTATGGCTGAGAAAGGCGGGCCTTAAATATCGTAAAATAAATAAATAAATTTGTCACTCTTCTCCAGAAAAAGCGAAACATGCAGACAAACATTCACCTGACAAATGCTAGAGTTACTGCTAGGAAGGGTACATATTTCCACATTTTGTGGAAGTATCCCAGCCAGGCATGTAGCCGGGGGGGGGGGGGGGGGCTTGAGGGGCTTCAGCCCCCCCCCCCCGAAATTCTCATGGTGGTTCGCGAAAAGGCCTTACTGGTGCATTATTTAAACTGTTATGTTTATTCATATCATGATCTGATCACCATACTCAATATATCCCATATGCATGGGGGTATCAATACAAAAGGTTTGCTAGGCTAGACCCTCTTTCACTCAGATTCAGCCCCCCCCGAAACTCAGCCCCCCCACCCCCCCAAAATTTTTTTCCCCCCCCCCCCCCCCCCCCCCGAAACAAAATCCTGGCTAGGGGCCTGATCCCAGCATTTCTGAAATTTGGAAAGTGATATATCTGAGAATAAGTCATTACAAGATAAGCTGTTCCTGCTGATCTAAACTAGTTTTGTTGTCATGAGTCATTGTCAAACAATGGATATGCCCGGAAACAGGTCATTTCAAAATAAGGTCTTACCTTACTTTGCAGGAAAAATATAATTCTATCAATGACTACAAAAGCTCCAAGATGCTGAGGTGTTTCATTTGCCACTCCAAAGAAGGCTCTTTAAATACTCCTTCTAACAAGGATGTACTTTTGGATTTTTCTGCTGCAAAGCAAACTGACCTGTTCTCTAGCATTTTTTCAGATGGCTCAATACTTCTTACATGGCTCTCCTATCCATTTCCATTTGCACAATCATGAATTGCAATAACAATACAATTATCGATTAGGTCACTATCAAGTAACTGCTTTTCCTTTATTTCTCAAATCCACTTCCTGCAGGGATCAATGGGTTCTCCCACCATTATCTAAGGAAGCATATAGGGCCCTTCCACACAACCCAAAATATCAAGGCAGAACATTCCACAATATCTGCTTTGCACTGGGATATCTGAGGCCGCACTGCCATATATTCCTGGTCTCACAAATTCCAACCCAAAACTAATAGAACATACATTCTGGCTCTCCTGACTTACCTAAACTACCAATGAAGAAATGTAGAAATAATGCAGAATTCCCATGGAATTCTGGGAATTGTAGTTTGGTGAGGTAGCAGCATTCTTTCGCAGAGAAGCCTGAAGATTTTGTAAGTAACAACTCCAATGATTCCATGACATTGAGCCATGGCAGTTGTAGTGGTGTCAAACCGAATTAATGTAGCTGCACCTTCAGGGCCAGTGTAGCAAAGTGGTTTGAGTGTTGGATTAGGACTCTCAGGGCCCTTCCACACAGCCCTATATCCCAGAATATCAAGGCAGAAAATCCCACATTATCTGAGGGTAGATCCAGACAGGCCTTTATTCCAGGAGAATCCGTGTTTGAAAAACACGGATCTTCCTGGGGACCTGTTCACACACACCCCAGAAAGTGCGTGCTTTCTGGGGTGGGTGTCCAGATGCTCTCATGGGACTAGCCCACAAGAACATCTGGAGGCCCTCCCCCCTCCCCCAGACCCCTTTGAAAAGTAAAAAAACAAACAAACTAGAAATGATCGCTCATAGAAATGATGTGCCAGGAGAAAGGGGGAGGGAGGAGGAAAATCACTCTCCCCCACCCCCGCTATCCTGGCACATCATTTCTATGTGCTGGAAGAGCTGCTCCAAGACTGTACTGGGGGCCGGGTAAGTTTTCTTTACTTTTCAACGGGCTTTGGGGGCTTTGGGGGTGGAGATGGTGTCTGGAGTGCAGTCCAGGGTTTTCCTGGTTTGTAGTTAATTAATTCAGGACTGTCCAGAACATTGTCTGGATAGCCCCTTCTTTATTATGGGAGTTACCGTAATAAAAGTACTGTCTGGACAAGCCCTTGGCCATCACTTTGAAAACAAATATGACATTTCTCTTACTCTACATAGATCCGCAACCT